AATCACCTTTCCGCAGAGTTCGCAGACGAACCAGGCACCTATAGTTGCTTCTTCAGGATTATCTTCTATGTCTATGTTGATGACGTGCACAGGATTGCCACTGGTAGTGGGTCGCGTATGAAGGTGATCCACTACCTAGAAAGACAAAGATTTTGTAACTATTTGTAATCAAATTGGGCAGAGAACAGAAATTTTGCCTATAGCTGGGAACGAACTTCAAAAGTTACGCATAAGTGATCATGGCAGGTCAAGTGCCTAATTATATGATAAGCCCCTATTTAAAAAATCCTAAATTTTGCGAACGATTGAGTAATTCTCTATTGGATTAAGTATCAAAGATAAATCCATTGCATAAAATAAAACCAAGCGATTCTGAACAAGTTTTCATGAAAACTGCTGGTTATTTCAACAAAACATTGAAACACTTTGTAAGCCTATGAACAGCGCCCTTTTTGAGATAAAAGTGTGAGAGGTTTAGGCTATGACCAAGCAAATGAGGAAAAAAATAAAATACGTACTTGATCATATACTCGTTCTTCTAAGCAGATGATAACATCAAACTCCTTATCCTCATGTTGAAACTTTTGAGGTGCCGGCTTTATCCGCCTATTTCGGTCAAGCATATTCAGTAAACCATTTTGAGTATAGCTGGAAAAGAAAAAGAAGAATTCAGCTACAAATAAAACTAATCCAGATTTGCGATCACTTACTAGATAGAATCTTTAGCTTTTAAGTCATTGTAGATAAACTCGTATGTTGCCTTGCCAAATTCATAACAATTCGGCTTATCTGCCGCTGTCCCAGGAAGTTTCACCTGATTTCCTGAGCCGTAAGATTCGATATTAAAACCTCTCTTCCTGAATTGATAATTTTTCTCAATTTGAGTTGTGCAAGTCTGAGGGGAATTTTTAAGAAAATTGCACTCACTGCATGAAACTATGGGCTTCCATACTCCTATTCATGTTGCTAGAACAGCTGACCGCGAATTTCAATTTATCAATATCCATTCTGTAACCTAATGATGAGAAACACGAACAATGTTGTAAATCACATTTTGCACAGAACTACAAATACACGACCGAAAACCACAAGAACAAAACATACGCAATACGTAAGAGATATGCATGCAAGACAATGGTTTGCTCAAGCATTCTGAACAGCTAAGATAAACGGCTAACACTTATTAAATTGATTAATAATCTCACCTCTCCATCGTTAAGTTTGA